TTTTAAGTGGAAAAGTAATGTTATAAAATGTAGATCATGTGACAGCAGCCTGGATTGCTCAGGGACCCCGTGATGACTGATAGAGAACTGTCTGTGGGAGGGTCTACTAGCCTAAGTGAGACTGAGGAACTGTTAGTGGTGGAGGAAATGGAGATAGAAGACCAATGATGCATCCTAGTTTGGGGGCAGCAGTCAGTTGGTGGGTGGTAGTATTCACCCAGATGCTAAATTCATAAGGTGGGGGATAGATTTTGGATTTCCTTAGTTGAAGATCCCCTAGGGGCACACATATGTAGAAGCCCCACACATAGAGCTAAAACTCGGGGGGGGGGGGGGCTGGAATTGGAAAGGGAGGTTTGAGGAACCTTAACATATTGATAGTTGAAGCCAATTATATTTGAAGAGAGATGAGGTTTTTAAATTTTTTTTTTTTGTAAAAGGTGTTTGGTGGAGGCAAGAAGAACATAGCCAGCAGTGGAACTCTGGGGTTACTGACTGGTAGAGTTGATTGAAGAGATGGGTCTTTGAAGGAGACTGAGTTGAAAGGTTCTGAGAGGTGGGAAGAAGGCTGGAAGAGAGACCCTTAAACATCCAGAGAAGACATAATTTCAGAGGGTGCAACCAGATGCTGCAGAGTTCAAGTGAAATAAGCATTGAGAAGGGGCCACTGTGTTGATGGGGTTTGCAGGAGAGAAGTATATTTTGTCTTCATGGGAGAACTGTGCATCTTTGTTTGTGCTGAGGTGGCTAAGCCATGACGTTTTGGCCTAGGCAACATGCAAGTTTCCTGGTCTACTGCCAGGATGAAGCAGGAAGGATGGGAACCTGTGTTGTTAAGATTGCATGTGCCGGGGTGAGGTTTGGGGCTGAGATGAGTGGGGGAGGGATTGTGACTCCTTTCTTTTCATGAAGAAGATAATTTTTTTTTGGAGCTGAGGACCCAACCCAGAAAATCCCCAACCTCGAAGATAAGTTATTTAAACCCCAAACTAGGCCTGGTGACTTTTGTGATAAAGAGACTGGATTTCATGTATAGAAACTTGAATTGTTCTAAGTCTTTAAATCCTAGTGGGGGGAAAGTTATTACTTACTGGTATTGTGGATACTTACTTTTATTAAAGGATCTTGGCTGAAGACAATTTAAAGACTCCATGTACCATTTTTCATTTATCAGAGGGCTTGATCAAATTATATTCTTGTCATGGGCATTTTGGAGCTTAAAGACAACAGACCTGTTGCAACATGAATTTTCAGTGCCAATTTTGACCACAGTGAAATGCTGGTGAAGGCTGAAGGTCATGGGTTTGATTAATTGGGTGATTAAAATTCCTTTTAAAACAAATTAGATGTGGCAGGTTTGCCACAAGTGAGAAGCACTATAAGGAAATGAATCTCATTAGTAGCTAGAACTTCCTGAATCATCAAAAGGAAGTTAAATGCACCCCCCACACCTGTGCTCACATGATCAAATGTGCACACACATGCAAAGTAATGACCAGCATAGTAATGCCTACTTAATGTTTTACAATTCAAATCTATCTTATACAGGTTTTATTTGCATTTATAAACAATATGCAAACACTAGATAATTGGGTTTTTATTTTTAATTTGGAAATTGGCACTTACCCTAAAAGCTTGAGTTTAGCCACTTACTCTATTTGCCTTTATATTTGAAGTCTCTAGTGTATGGAAGCATTCAGCAAAGACACTGACCAAGACAACTCCATGGGGGACAGCAGTTTATTTGAGAGTAAACAGACCACTGGACTGCCTCCTGGGAAGCAGAGGAAACAGCAACCAACGGGGGAAGTCGGACATCTTTTATAGGCAGTCAGGTGCTTGGGCAACTTTCCATGTAGTCTGGGCAGTTTAGCTCAGGATTGGTTGGTCTCAATAAGCAGAGGGACTTGCCTGAGGCTGAGCCCCGACCTGCCATTTTAGAATGTTGGGAGCTGTGCCGCCATTTTAGGAGCCTGCTGGGAACCTAATGTCTAGGTTATTAGATTTGCTACTAGGCACTTGAATTTGGTATCCATGGCTTAGGGGAATTGGCATGGGCAGGAAACGAAGCCAGGATCCATGCATAGAAAGTGATAGGCAAATCGAGTCCAAATCGGGAGAAAGCACCAGGACACAGACAAGAACTCCTGCGGCATAGAGTTTATTGGCAGAGGAAGCGCATGAGACAGTCCCCAGTTGGGGATGGAGGAGTTGTCAGTTTACAGGCTGTTGGCTGGGGGCTTTAATAGGGGATTTGGGGAATGTGGAAGGCGGGAAAACATTTTTTTAAAAACAAGTTGGGGGAGGAGAGCCCAGGGCTTATCAGGAGAGAATAGTCTCTGTCAAACCACCGCACCCTTCTGTCCCATTCCATCAGCCAGGATCTGGGTAGCTATACATCTGAAACTTATCAGGAGGAAGTAGCTATACCTTGTGAAACTTACCAGGGGGAATTAGCTTGTACTGAGACAGCTCCTACATCAGAGGGTCTGGAGTGCAGGGGCTTGTTTGTCTTTTAAGATTATCAAAGGGGAAGCAAGCTGTGCCTAAACAGCTCTTGTAGCAATGGGGTCTCAGGTCATAGATGTAGGGAGTCTGTTTCTCTTGCCTGCAAATGGTCAGAGTACTCATTAACTCAGTTCCTGTGATTCCAGAGGGCTTGCAAAACCATGAGGACCTGTTGCTTTGGAGAGCGGGTTGCTGTAGATCTGAACTGTAACAGAAAGGAAAGTTGTCACACTGGGCAGAGAATGGAGCAGGGAGCGTGGGGTGGTATGTCCTTTTGATCCTAACTGGAGTGAGGTTGTGGTCTATGAAGAACAGATACATCTCAGAAACTGAATACATGGCAGACCCCATGTATAATTCTGTATACTTCTGTGTATTATTGCATCCATACAATGACCTTGACAAGGAAAATATTGTAATTATTTGTAGTTTCAAGGGAATAAATGGAAGGAGGTGAGAAGATAGCAAAAGACCTTCAGAAAGTTAAAAAGTAAAAGTGTGAAGTGGTGATGGCAACTATTGTTAAAGGTGAAACTTGCTTTAGTATAACTGTTTCTTTTTCTGATTTTTAAAATTTGTCTTAGAATATAGGCTCTTAGACGCCTGAGACTAAAGGGTAAAATTTGTTACTCTGCCAGTTACCTGGAGACTGGGCCAGGGGAGCCCTACTTTTATGTATGCTTAGGAATTTCATAATAAAACGCTTTAAAGAAGCTGTATTAATTTATATTTTTTATGTATATGAGTGTTTGCCTGCATGTCTGTATGTGTACCACAAGCATTCTTCTTGCCCTTGGAAGCAAGAGAGGGTATTGGATCCCCTAAAACTGGAGTTACAAATAGCTGTTATTAGCTGCCATGTGGGGGCTAGGTGTCCTGCAAGAGCAGCTGTTTCTCCAGTTTATAATGAAATGTTTTTTTAAAGGATTAAGATGAAATATGGTCTTGTTTTAAAGTAAAAGAATATTTATAAAGAGTAGGATACTTTCCTCTTTCCTCCTGTCTGATCTTTATTGTAGCCTTAACCTATGAGCCTTTTTCTGAGACAAGATTGTTAGCAAGGTATCGAGGAAATAAAATATAAAAGTCATTTATGTTCTATGTTCATGTTCTATGTTCTATGTCATGTTAGCTTTATAGTTTAGAGATTAAGTGGCTTCTTCATCTTCATTCCATTGCAGTGGATGCTTTACAGCAATAGGGAGGTGAGTATGCACCAGAGAAGCCCAGGGCTAGAAGTGTCTCTTTGCAGAAGGCATGCAGTCTTCTAGTGGAGGGTCAGAGTCTTTGACTAGCTTTTCAGTAGTTTTTTTTGTGTGTGTGTGTCTTTTTGAGGCAGGGTCTCCCTGTAGCCCCAGCTGGCCTGGAACTTGCTACGTAGACCAGGCTGGCTTTGAACTCACATAGATCTGCCTGTCTCTGCCTCCTGAGTGCTGGGATTAAAGGCGTGCACCACCAAGCTCAGCTTTAGTAGTGTTTTAGTTACTTTTCTCTTGCTGTGATAAAACACCATGACCAAGGCAACTTATAGAGGAAAGGATTTATTTGCTTATGATTCCAGAGGGATTAGAACCCATAATGTCGGGGGAGGCAGAGGTGGCAGAGCAGAAAGCCGAGTGATTACATCTTAAGCCGCCACAGGAAGCAGAGAGTGAGTGGAAATTTGGTGTGGCTTAAGAACTCTCAAAGCCTACCCCAGACATGCTTCTTCTAGCAAGGCTGCTTCTCCTACCAAGTGGGAACAAAATATCCAAATACTTGGAGCCTATGGGGGATGTTCTCACTCAAACCACCACAAATAGGGACTACAGGCAGCCAGCGAGGTGGGAGAGGAAAAAGGCAGTTGCTATCTGTGGAATATCAGTGTGCTGGGCACACACTGCACATCTCTCACAGAGTTAATTCTGATCAACTGCTCTATTTTTCACTCAATTTTTAATGTTTTCGTTGTGACAAAATGTTATGCAAGACATAAAATTGCCATTTTCAACATATAATTTGTTGATGTTAAGTATGTCACATTATTGTGCCTCCATCACCATCTGCCTCTGAACAATTCTTTCTAAACTGAACCTCTGTACCCATTAAACACCAACCCCTCCATTTCCTCTTGTAACTGTGTAGCCATCATTCTACCTTCTGTGACTATAACTTCCCTAAGTACCTTATGTGAGGGGAATTATGCAGCATTTGTCTTTTCATGAGTGATTTGCTTCCCTTGGCATAGTGTCCTCAAGGCCCGTCCGTGTTGTAGCGTATTTTGAGAGTTTCCATTTTAAGACTGAAGAATGCTCCATTATTCGCATGAATCTTGTTTATACGTGTGTCCTTCAAAAGATTTTTGTGTTGCTTCTGCTTTTGATTGCTGGGGATGATACAACGAAAAAATGGATGCCTGCTATCTCCATATGTCCCTGCTTTTAGCACTTGTTCTTATATGTCCAGATGTGTAACTGTTGAATCATACGGTAATTCTGTTTCTAATTTTCTAGGACCTTTTATGCTATTTTCTGCTGTGGCTGTCTTGATTTTGCATTTCTACCAGCAAGTGCCCAGAGATTCCAGTCTCCACCTAGGAGGTGAGTACTGTTTGTTCAATGTTAGAGCGCAGAAAGGAAGATGCAGAGGGAAGTTACGTGACACTCACCCAGGTGAAATAAGCTCATGTGCCCATTGGAATTTGCACTCACCTGCCAGACTCCAAAGCTAAGTCCCATGACACACGAGTTGGCGAGGCACAGAGGTGCTAGGCAACAGAGGCTGGATTCAAAACTTGCTTTTAGAATTCATGCTGGGAGTTAAACTCCCTCCCCCCAGCCCCCATTTAATAAACATTTAATAGAGTAATCTTTAATTATTATTATATGACTTTTTCCTGACTCTCCAAATTTATACCTTAAAAGGTTCCTTTTTTAAAAAAAAATGTTTTATTATTTTTATTTTATGTGTATGAGTATATTGCCTGCATGTATATAAGTGTACCCATGTCATGCAAAAGGTTCCTTTTTAAAAAATGTTATCTTAAAAATATCTGCAGTGTCCCATCACAGTGCTCTACTCTCTCATCACAGTGCTGTATTTTTGCAATAAAATGGTTCACTGTTGCAGCACAATGCTCCATACTCTCATCACACTGCTCATTGTCGCATCACTGTGTTCCATTTCTGCGTCACAACTGTTCATTGTCCCATCACAGCAGTCCATTGTCTTGTCACAATGATCCATTGTTGCATAATAATTGTGACTGTTCCATAACACTGTATACCGGCCTCATTACAATGTTCCATTTATATTACCACAATAGTTCACACTCCCATCATAATGCTCTGTATTCTCACAGTACCCCATTGTTGCATCACAATTATCCACTGTCCCATGACAATGCTCCATTTTTACATCTTAACGTCCACTGTCCCATGGTAGTGCTTCATTGTTACATCCCAGAGTTTCATTGTCCTAACACTATACTCTCTAGTCTCATCACAGTGTTCCATTGTTACATCACAATTGTCCATTGTCAGAATACAAAGATCCATACTTAGATCAATATGGTCACTGTCCCATGACAATGCTCTTCTGTCTCATGACAATAACCCACAATTCCATAACAATATTCCACTGTCTATCACAGTGCGCCATTGTTATAATTGATCACATTCTCATCACAAGGCTGTATTACCCTATCACTGTGCTCTGTTTTTGTCCAGTGTCTCACCAAAATCCTCCAGTTTAATCACAATGCTGTATTTTTCTGTAAAATTTTATTTAATTTTTGTGTATTTCATACAGAATATCTTTTTAAAGTAAATTTACTTTTCACTTTAGGTAACTAAAGAAATGCACATTAAAATGTTGTTTTTGGAAAACATAAAGCAACCAATAGTTGGGTTTAAAAAAAAAAAAGATGCTTTTCCAAAACCTTCCCTTTCTTCACTGTTGAATTCTGTCTTCCTATCTTTTCAGTATTTCACAAAATCAGTTGTGTTTTTCTCTTTCATCTAGATCTGTTTTGTCAACAAGTATGTTCAACCCTCTGTAATCCTTAAAGTATACAGTCAGCTGTTTATACTCTGGGTTTTACATCCACTGAATCAATTAACCACAGAACAAAAATATTTTAAAAGAAAATTACATCTGTACTGAACACATGGAGACCATTTTCATGTCACAATTCCCAAACAATTCAGCATGATAACTCTCAAATTCTATTGGGTCTCATAAGTAATATATGGTGATTTAAAGCACACAGAAGTATACAGAGGGATGTCCATATACAAATACTACACAAGTTCATAAAGACACATGTAAGTATTTACAGGTCAGGTCAGGAACCAGACTCTTAATGATGCCAAGGTAAGACTTGACTGTATTTGTATATATTTCAACTCCCTATCTCCTGCTAATTCAGTCTTGGTTACATACTGATATCACCTGAGAGCTGCATAAACTATCTCAGTCCCTGGGTCTAACTCCGACAGAGTCCACTGTCCTCAGTGTGACCAACACCGTTGGTTGGCATTGGGTTATTTTCAGGGCAATTCATATAATTCTGGTGTACAGACAAAGCTGAGAACCATGGTAAACCTCAGCTCACTGCTTTCTCTTAGCAAAATTCTTACAAGTTTTCCACAAAACCTGTCTTTATAGCCCTCCTTACACCACAACAATTGGGTTTCTGCCCCTTCATGACTCTAAAGCAGCTCTTGCTAAGTCAGAGGCTCAAATGTCACAAAATTGGCAGTATTTCACTGACCCCTCTGGCACTAGATTGTTCTGACCCTCTTCTCTTGATAGCTCTGTTCCTTTGGGGGTGGCAACAGCACCATTTGGTCTTTTTTTTTCTTACTTTTCTGATGTTCCTCTGCAATGTACTCAGGATGGTCACCCTCAGTACTCAGTCATTAGAGGTGGGTGCCCCTTCCTGGACCCTCATGTGAGGGGCAGCCTCTCCTTCTCTCCCTCCCAGGCTGTGGTTTCCACTTGTGATCTTAGATGGTCTCCAGATGTACTTCTCTGAGACCATTCTTGTTTTTTAACTTTAAAAAAAAATTATTGAGGCTGGGCGTGGTGGCGCACGCCTCTAATCCCAGCGCTTTGGAGGCAAAGGCAGGTAGATCTTTGTGAGTTCGAGGCCAGCCTGGTCTACATAGTGAGTTCCGGGACAGCTGGGGCTATGAGGACACCCTGTCTCAAAAAGACAAAACAAAACAAAACCCCAACAACAACAACAACAACAAAAATTATTGAGAATTTCATACATGCATATAAGGTGTTTGATCAAATCCATGCCCATTCCCTTCTCTCCAACATTCCCCCCCCTCTGAAGAGGTAACTAAAATCTTTTAAGGATTAGATACATACTCCCAAATACTTTTGACACTTTGGCCTTTGGAACAGAGTATGTTGCTAACAGGCCCAAGGACATTTTGACTTTTAGCCAAGAAACTGGCTACATTTCTTTGGGGTGTTTTTACCCTAACTGTCTAGCCAGTTCCTACCTCCTTATCACACCGTCCTCTGAAGGGGTTACCCAAATTGCCAATAGGGAATAGGGACACTGACCACTCCAGCTTCTTTCATGCTGAACAGGGACGCAGGGTGAGACAATTGGAGTACCCCTTCAGTGGGTCTATCTAAAAGACTCCCAAATTGCATAACTATTGTCTCTAAGGGGAGAAGAAAGTCCTTGAATCATGAATAGGAGATGTGAAGGAGAAGTAAAGACAAGATTAATTAGCATTACAAGTTCTAGATAGGGAACTAGAAAAAAGTCAGAACAGGGCAATTTTCAAATGTTCATGTGAGAGTCCACTGGAGTTTCTTGACAAGGGCTTCCAAAAGCATCCCTCTATTGGGTTCTTCCTCATTTTTCTTTTGTCTTCCAAGGCTGGACTAGTTGGCTGGGAAGAGTGGCTGGATACTCAGGTGAGGATCCAATGACCCTGCTTGGCACTCCTTTAATGAATGAGCACAACTGTCCATAATTCATCAAGTGGTGCATTATGGTGAAACAGTCTGCACTGTGATGAGACAGGATCATTCTGAAGGAATAGTGGAGCACTATGATAAGACAGTGAGTCATTGTGATGGGGAGTGTACCAATGTGATGCTATAATGGAGCAAGGTGATGTGATTGTTGACCTTTGTTTATAATTTAGCATTAATATCAGATGGTGGAGGATTGAAAGATGATATTGGAGAATTTTGATGCCCTAATGGAGCACTGTGATGAGACACTGGAGCAGTGATTCATTGGAGCAGTGTGTAATTGTGATGAAACAGTGAATCATTATAATGATACAGGTTAGTATTGTGATGCAACAATGGGACATTGTGATGAAGCCGGGGAGCATTGTGATGGGATAGTGAAGCATTGTGATTAGCAAAGAAACATTTTGCTAAGACAGTGGACAACAATGTGATGCAAAATGGAGCACAGTGCTAAGACGTTGGAGCATTGTGATAAGATAAGGGACATTTATGATTCAACTCTAGAGCATTGAGATAAAACAGAGGAGAATGGGGATGGACCTTGGACCACTGTGATACAACAATGAGTATACCAGTGAGTCAGTGAAACAATGTGATTAAACAGTGGGCCACTCTGATGCAAAAATTGAGCATTGTTATGAGACAGTGGAACATTGTGTGGACAGTGGGGGGCAACTGCAATACAACATGGAAAATTGTGATAAGGAAATGGAGTATTATGATGCAATAATAGAGCTCTGTGATGAGACAATGAATACCGCGATAAGACAGTGGAAACTTATGATTGGACAGTGGACAGTTTTGATGAAAAAAGGGAGCAGGAGCATTTTGATGAGAAAAAGACATTATAGGACAGTGGACAATATTGTGGGGTATTGTCATTAGACAAGGAAGCATTATGATGGAACAATGAACTATTTTGATATAATAATGGATCATCATGTTATGATAGGACAAAGAAACTTTGTGATATTACACTGCAACATTGTGATGAGATACTGGAAAGCTGTGATATGACAGTGGACCACTGTGATGCAACCACAGAGCATTGAGATACATTATGGTGGGATAGTGGAAAATTGCAGTGATGGATTATGCAATTTTGATTAGACAGTGGATAATTGTGATGGGAGATTAGACCATTGTGATGCATCAATGGAGCACTGTGTTGTGACAGTGGAGCATGGTACAAGGATAGTGATACCCTGTGATGCCAAAAGGAGCCATTGTGATGAGAAAGTGGAACATTTTGTTTGGACAGTGAACCGTTATACTTCAAAAATATAGCATTTTGATGAGACAGTGGAGCATTTTGAAGAAACAGTGGCCATCTGGATGCAACAACGGAGTATTTTGATCAGACAGTGAGCACTGTAATGAAACAGAAAGAAGATCACTGTGATGAGACAGTGGAGCAGTGTGATTGAACAGTTGACCACTGTGATGCAACCACAGAGCATTGTGATGTGATTGGGAACCTTTGTGATGTAATAACTGAGCATTATGATAAGACAGTGGAGAATTGTGAGGGGACATGGATAATTATGAAGCAACAATGGGGCATTGTAATGGGACAGTGTCCCATCAT